TCCTGTTAAGAATCCAGATTGAACATGAAATCGCTATTTTTACTGGTAGTCCTTGACCTATGACAACTGGGACCAGCAACACTTAATTGGGGAATTCTGGGAGTTGAATTCCACACCTCTCAGTCCAGGCTGAGAGACACTGGTCTATTTGGGTCTGTCTAGTTTAATGAAGAGAAGGACGATGGGGGACATGATAGCCGTGTTCCAGCATCTCAGGGGTTGCCCCAAAGAAGAGGGAGTCAAGCTATTCTCCAAAGCGCCTGAAGGCAGGACAAGAAGGAACGGATGGAAACTAACCAAAGAGAGAAGCAACCTAGAACTAAGGAGAAACTTCCTGACAGTGAGAACAATTAACCTGTGATGACCCAGGGCCCCGAACGGGAGGCAAAGCAATTAGCTGGTCAGAATAATTATCTTTGTAGGCAACGTTGCCAACATTCACCCAACAGCCCCCACATATGCTGGCACAAGTTCAATAAAACAGTCAACGGAGTTAAACAGTTCTTTAAAGTAAAACAGATAACAAAGTATGATCTTTTCCACACCCAGCTTGCCTGTAACCTGCAAACTGCAAAACTGAGGACAGCAAGAACTCAGCAGGAAACAAAGTTGATCCAAAAAAGAAAGAGTCCAGGTACAAGAGCTCACATCACAAGAGTTCACGTTTGTTCCCGGCAAATGCCCCACCCCACAGCGTCTCCTTAAATACCTACTCCCCAGGTATGCCTTGTGGAGTGGGGCGTGACGCTCTCCTCCCGAGCAAGTGAGCCTGCCTCCGTTGTTCTCTCCTCCTCTCTGCTCTCCTTGCTCTGGGATCTGGGCCTTGCTCCTCGCCTGAGCTTTGCCTTCCCTGTTCCAAACTTGAAGGGCCCTGGCCTGCTTCAGCCTGTTCCTCCCCACAGTCCACCGAAGCCACAGACACCCCCCCCCTCCTGGGCCTCAACAGGGAACTCCATGTGGTCCTCAGAGTCAGGCTCAGACGGAGGCATGACAACCAGTGGAACAACCTGCCTCCAGAAGCTGTGAATGCTCCAACACTGGAAGTTCCTCATATGTTTTCGCTCCCAGTCCCAATCCTCTTTATCGCTCTTCTCTGCACTCTTTCTAGAGTCTCAACTTCTTTTTTACATCGCGTTGACCAAAACTGGATGCAGGATTCTAAGTGTGGCCTTTCCAAGGCATTGTAAAGTGGTATTAACACTTCACATTATTTTGATTCTATCCCTTTGTTAATGCAGCCTAGCACTGTGTTGGCTTTTTTGGCAGCTGCCGCACACGGCTGGCTCATATCCCTCTCACAGTTGCGACTATTGAGCAAGGTACTATCTATACCAGGGGTGTCAAACTCAATTTGAGGGCTGCATCAGCATTGCAGTTGCCCTTAGCGAGCCAGGTGGGTATGGCCAGGGTGGGTGCGGCCTACTGGGTGGGCATGGAATGGGTGTGGCCTACTGGGTGGGTGTGGAGGGAGTAGGTGTGGCCTACTGGGTGGGCATGGCCAGCTCTACATTGTTCGCATCAAGGGTGCCTGTGGGGGCCTGGGCAGGAGTGGGACAGATCTGAGGGTCTCTGGCAGAAGGGAGTGGGACCAGGCATGGTCCACTGAAGAAGCCTCACTGTTCCTCTTAGGCCATGTGGGGAGGGGGCTGGATGGTGGTGCGGGCTGCCAGGAGCCCTGGGCAGCAGCAGTCAAACGCCCAGCCTGGCCCTCGAGCACCCGTGACACCAAACCCAGCCCCACTTCCCAAAGGAGGCACCCAGCTGCACTTACCTCCTCAAGGCTGCTGCTACTGTGCTTGCTCTCCTTAGCCAGGTTGTTCATGATGGGTACCTGGGCAAAGTCAGAGGGAGCCTGAATGCATTTCAGCATAGATGGCCACCACAAAATTGTACATTGCCTCCTGGCCAGCTGGCCTGGGCCAGAGCCAAGGTAGTGGGGGCCGTTCCCTCACTGTTTCCAGGATGGCTTCGCGGGCCGCATGAAACCACTTCGCGGGCCGCATCCGGCCCCCAGGCTGTCAGAATCCAATTATATTTCATCTTTAATTATCAAATATAGAAACTCCCAATTCTGCCTTCTCTGGATTCTGCCATAAGAGGGAGAGAAGGGGGAGAACAAAGGAGCTTTATGGCCCTCACTTCCTTCAGTATACTTCAAGGAGCTGAATGCTGAATGTGTGTTTATTGTAACCTCAAAGCGTTAGCACCAAAGAACCTTACCATAACAAAGAAGGGTATTTGCCTTTCATGTAGTTATCTGAAGTCTCCATCCAGACCGAAGAAAGAAAAAAGGGGTGGAATTGTGATACCTGAAACTATCACTGGAAGGGGGGTTGATTGGGTGGGACTACTGGGGAACCCCTTAAAATCTTGAATGGGAGGGCTTGGACCCCAAGTCCTGTCTAGCACGCCTGCAACCACTCCTTCTTAATAAAGGATTCCTGTTGGAAGAATTATTCCAAGAGTTCTGTCTTCTTAAGATGCAAAGTGGGGTGGGTCCTTACACAGGCCTTGTGTTGACTATACTGTTACCTGTGCATTTGGTTTTTCTTGCCTACATGTAGAACCTTAGTTTTTTCACCCTTGAATTTCATTTTGTTAGATAGCGCCCAGTGTTCAAGTCTGTCCAGACCAGTGGTTCTCAACCTTTCTAATGCCGCGACCCCATAATACAGTTCCCCATGTTGTGGTGACCCCCAACCACTTATACATCACCGGGTACCAGGGGCGTGGCCAAAGAAAAGGGGGAAAAAATGGCGGACAGCCTTGTTTGGCGACCCCTGCGAAATGGTCGTTCGACCCCAAATGGGGTCCCGACCCACAGGTTGAGAACCACTGGTCCAGATCCTCCTGTATCCTAAGCCTGTCTTCTGGAGTGTTGCCTATTCCTGCCAACATTGGTAAAGATTACCTGCAGAGAACGTAGCATTAGCTTGGGAAGCAGGATTTTATTTTCCCCTTTGAAGATCTCACTCAGGTAGTCCTTGACTTACAACAGTTCGTTTAGTGACCGTTCGAAGTCACGACGGCACTGAAAACAATGACCTACGACCATTTTTCACACGACTGTTGCAGCATCCCCCCCCGTGGTCACGTGATCAAAATTCAACTGACTCGTATTTATGACGGTTGCAGTGTTCCGGGGGTCACGTGATCCCCTTTGGCGACCTTCTAACGAGCGAAGTCGATGGGGAGGCCAGATTCACTTAACCACCGTGTGACGACCTTAACAACTGCAGCGATTCACTTAACGACAGTGGCAAGAAAGGTCGTAAAATGGGGCAAAACTCACTTAACGTCGGTCTCGTTTAGCAATAGAAAGTTTGGGGTCCCTTGTGGTCCTAAGTCCAGGACGGCCTTTAGTTAAGCGGTACATCAGTCGGAGATTTTAAGAGGTGTTTAAAGTTCAGGATCAGTGAATACAGAGTTTTAAAAAGCAATATCAAAATAAAAAAATAATCTTATCTAAATTGGGGAAGGAATTTCAGAGTAGAGTTACAATCCCACCAGGCAATCAAAACATGGAGAACAGGTAATTTCCTTTCTTTGCTGAGGTGACCCTCATTCTCCAGAAGCTGGACCCAAGGATGTGCGACTGGGCTCCAGGTAGTCCTCGCTTAATGACTAGCCACATAAGGCCCATTCAGAGTGACAACACCCCGCCCCCAAAAACCTGTCCTCGGAGCTATGACTGCCAGTCACACGGTTGCATTTTGGATAGCAAGAGCAACAGCACTTAGACTTATGCACCGCTTCACAGTGCTTTACAGCCATCTCTGACCGGTTTACAGAGTGAGTCTATTTGCTCCCGACAATCTGGGTCCTCGTTTTACCAATATCTAAGGGGCTGACCCAGAGAAGAAGAGATCAACCTATTTTTCCAAAGGATCTGAAGGCAGGACAAGAAGCAATGGATGGAAGGCTGAGTCGACCTTGAGCCGGTGACAATCGAACTCCTGGCAGTGGGCAGAGTTAGCCTGCAATACTGCATGTTAACCACTGCGCCACTATTGGAAGGAAGGAATAGCACTTTTATACAACTTTACAGCCCTCTCTAAGCAGTTTATAGAGTCTGCATATTTGCCCCCCAAAACCTGGTCCTCCTTTTACCGACCTCGGAAGGATGGAAGGCTTGAGTCAACCTTGAGCCAGTCAAGATCGAACTGTAGACAGTGGGCAGAGTGGAGGAAGGAAGGAAGGAATAGCACTTATATACCGCTTCACAGTGCTTTACAGGCCTCTCTAAGCGGTTTACAAAGTCAGCATATTTGCCCCCCAAACCTGGTCCTCCTTTTACCGATCTCAGAAGGATGGAAGGCTGAGTCAACCTTGAGCCGGTCAGGATCAAGCTGCAGGTAGTGGGCAGAGTGGAGGAAGGAAGGAATAGCATATACCGCTTCACAGTGCTTTACAGCCCTCTCTAAGCGGTTTGCAGAGTCAGCATATTTGCCCCCCAAAACCTAGGTTCTCCTTTTACCGACCTCGCAAGGATGGCAGGCTGAGTCAACCTTGAGCCGGTGAGAATTGAACTCCTGGCAGTCGGCAGAATTTGCTTGCAATATTCCATTCTAACCCCTGTGCCACCACGGCACTTTGCTACTGGCTCCCATTCATGGTGGCAGTGTCCTGCAGTCAAAATTTACGACTTTTTTTTGACAGTTTCTGGCAAAAAAAAAAAAAAAAAACCAAACCCCACCCCATTTGGGAGAATGTATTTAGTTAACAACTATGTGGCTTGCTTAACAGCCACATGATGTGCTTAGTACCGTGCATAAAGCGTGGTGACTCGCTTTATGCCTTTTGTAAATCAATCATAAAGTTTAATCAGGTCGCATGGTGTCCCGCTTAATGATCACAATGACTTACTACCAATATTTCAGGCTCACTTGCGGTCGTTAAGTTACCACCTGTACTTTGGAGCAGAAATCAAGAATTTTTGACCATGGGAGAACGTTTTTGAGCAGTGCATTTGAAGAAAGGCAATTAGATTTCGGCACATCTGTGGTGAAAGAGGTTCGTTTGTTCTTTTTTTAATGCTCTAATCCCAAAACTGCTACATAGGTTGCAGTACAGATTAAGCCAAGCTTAGGAATTGCTACAGAGAAGCAGAGTACAAAAATCTACATTCCTGTTTCTAAAAAAAGACATTTTTTTTTAACCCTCCCAGGTTTTAAGGGCACGTTCATCCTGTATTGGGGGGCTCTGCTCCCTCCCCATCTGCCTGTCTTTTTTTTAAAAATGCCACTGTTTAAAAAAACAAAACAAAATTCCATTTTCTCCAGCTGATAGCCGGGGACCAAATGAGAGAGATCAAATAACCGGAGGACGTTTGGCAAAGCAGGTATTTTCAACACTGGTGCCAAAGTTTTCTAGGACGGCGTTCTTATTTAAGCAACTGTATCCTGCGGTAACACTAGACTCATGACAAACAATTCTAATTTTAAAAAAAACAAACAAACTTGCTGAAAAGGTTTGATCTTGGAATTTCAACCTTGCCAGGACCTGTCCCCATTAAAAGGCAGGCCAACCTGAAATCTAATTGGCCAAAATTATATATATTCTAACTTGTCAACAAGGAAGAAAACCAAAATGGGTGCAGCTCTTAATACCTTTTTATCTCTTGCACCAATATCCAAATTTCCCCACTATTAACCCTCTTTTCCACCCTGCCTCACGATGATGGAATTTGTTTTAAAATAGTTGACTGACGTATAGGGGTTATGGTGCAGCTATGGCCTTGTATAATAAATCAGCCAATCCCTTACTCTCTCGTCAAACAGATGCAACGCATCGCAAAACTATTGCTACGTATTGGCTGCTTGAAGATGGGCGGACTTCAATTCCCAGAATCCCTCAGTCAGCAGCCCAGAATTCTGGGAGTTGAAGTCCGCCCATCTCTCAAGTGACCGCGGTGGAGAGACGCCATTCTAGATTTGAGATTACACACCGATTACACACAGATGGAGAACGTCTCTAAATGCAAAGCTGTCCAGTCTTGGCAACCTTAAGACTTCAACTCCCAGAATCCCCAGACTTCTGGACTTCAGTTCCCAGAATCCCCAGACATCTGGATGCTGGCTAGGGAATTCTGGGAACTGAAGTCCAGAAGTCTTAAAGTTGCCAACCTTGGACACCCCTGATCTAATGTATTAGTGCTTGGAAGATCCTGCCCTAACTCGCTAGCCACAGCTACTAATTCAACAACAACAAAACAACAAAGCAGTAGTTGTTCTCCACAGGAAGCCACCTCTGATATCCAGCGAGGACTTTACTGGCCAAGGGACCCCCCCCCATTTGTCTCAGGTGCTGCCACTGACTGGCCATCTCTTTTCAACTCACAGAGAAGTTGAGGTGATGAACGATACGCCTTTCTGCACCAAGGGCCTCGTTGGAAAAACTTTGGTGGATCCAGCTTGGTGAACAATCCCCAAGAGATCCTGGTCCCCAACTTTCCACGTGGCCGTGCAAAGGGATCCAGGCCTCTAGTGGGAGGAGATGACCACTAACCAAGCTATTTACAAAGGAGGAGAGACAGTCAACCACGCCTGTGGATAATCTCTACAGTGCCATGACTTAAGAATGAGGTAACTGAAACCAGGCTGGGTTGGGTTGTACATTGAGGCGGTGGGCGGACATTGGCCGAAAAAACTCAGATCGAAGGGTGGACCTCCGTGGGACTCCAAGGTTTGGTCTCTTCCGATCTTCTCCTCCTCAAGCCGGGTAGGTGTGGAGGAATGCCTTCAGCTTGGTAGGGTAGTCGGTCATCACCCCGGTGGCCCCCAGGTCGAAGGCCCGCTTGTATTCGTGGTCTTCGTTGAGCACCCAGATGTAGACCTGAAGGAAAAAGCGGGGAGTGGTCTTAAGCTTCCGCGGAAATTGCCGACACCTGTTTTCAATCTGTGCTGCGTTCCCTGGTGAAATCTTCACGTTCATCATCCGCTGCCTATTTATTCGTTCCTTAGACTGGTACAGGGAAGTCCCTGAATCGCCCCTTTATTTAGTGACCATTCAAAGTCACAAGGGCCCTGACAAAAGCGACTTATGATCCGTTTCTCAGACTTATGACCACTGCAGCAGCCCTACGGCCATGGAGAAGGACTAGGGGGTGACAGGATAGCAGTCCTCCCAAATTCAAGGGGCTGCTACAAAGAAGAGGGGGTCAACCTGTTCTCCAAGGCAAGGGGAGGGGAAGGGAGGAAGGGCAGAAGAGGAGAGGATGGGAGAAGGGGAGAGGAGCAGGGAGGAAGGGAAGGGGAGAGGAGGGAAAGAGGAGAGGTGAGGTGAGAAGAGAAAAGAAGGGAAGGGAAAGGAAGGAAGGGAGGAGAGGAGAGGAGAGAATACTGATGGAAACTATTCAAGGAGAGAAACAACCTAGAACTTCCTAACGGTGAGAGCAATTAATCAGTGGAACAACTTTTTTCTAGAACAGGGGTTCCCAACCCCCGGTCTGTGGGCTGGTACCAGGCCGCGGCATGCCAGCAACTGGTCCGCACAAACAAGCAAAGCCCCATTTGCAGGATGCAGGCAGCACACAAAACCACACACTCTGCGGTCCATGGAAAAACCTCTCTCCACGGACCGGTCCCTCGTGCCCAAAAGGTTGGGGAACCTCTACTCTAGAAGTTGTGGGTGCTCCATCACTGGAGTTTTTAATGAAGAGACTGGACAGCTACTTGTCTGGAATAGTATCAAGCAGTGTTTCTCAACCTTGACCATTTTAAGGCATGTGGACTTCAACTCCCAGAATTCCACAGCCGGCATTGCTGGCTGTGGAATTCTGGGAGTTGAAGTCCACATGCCTTAAAATGGTCAAGGCTGAGAAACACTTGTATACGGTTTCCTGCCTGAGCAGCGGGTTGGACTGGAAGATCTCCAAGGTCCCTTTCAACTCTGTTACAGGTAGTCCTCGACTTACAAGTTTGTTTAGTGACCGTTCAAAGTTACAACGGCACCTAAAAAAGTGACTTAGGACCAGTTTTCACACTTACGACCGTTGCAGCATCCCCATGGTCACTTGAACAAAATTCGGACGCTTGGCAACCGATTCATATTTACGACGGTTAAAGCGTCCTGGGGCCTTGTGAGCCCCTTTTGCGACTTTCTGACAAGCCAAGTCAATGAGGAAGCCAGATTCACTTAACAACCATGTGAGTAACTTAACTTCTGCAGAGATTTACTTAACAACTGTGGCTAGCAAGATCATAAAATGGGGCAAAGCTCACTTAACAAAAATCTCACTTAAAAACAGCAATTTTGGGCTCAATGGTGGTCGTAAGCCGAGAACTACCTGTATTCTATTCTGTTAAGGCAGCTGACTCATATTTATGACGGTTGCAGCGTCCTGGGATCACGTGATCACTTTTCCCAACCTCATGATGAGCAAAGTCATTTGGGGGGGGGGGAGCCAGATTCACTTCACAACCGGGTTACTTAATTAACTTAACAACTATAGCGATTCGCTTCACAACTGTGGCAAGAAAGGTCATAAAATGGGGCAAAACTCACTTAGCAAGTGTCTTTTTTTTTTAGCAACAGAAATTTTAGGCTCTAGTGTGGTCATTAAGTCAAGGACTATCTGTAATCTCTTTGAACGTCTGAAGGGCTGTGGGTGCTCCGTCACTCGAGGTTTTTAAGAGGCTAGACCAGTGATGGCAAACCTTTTAGAGACCGAGGGCCCAAACTGCAACCCAAAGCCCACTTATTTATCGCTGGGTGCCAGGTGGGCGTGGCTGTGGTGGTCATGGCAGACTGGGTGGGTGTGGCCAAGATGGGCGTGATCACCTTGATGTTGTTCCTGGGGAGGGACGCCTGTGGGGGCCGGGCAGGGTTGGGGGAGATCCAGGGGGTCTCTGGCAGGTGGGGCAGTGGGCAGGAGGCTGGTCCTGCGGGGTGAGGCGAGGCAAGGCAAGGGAGAGCGGGGGTGCCATTGTCACAGGGCAAGGCGAGGTAGGGGGACGGGGCGGCGGCTGCCTGACACCCATCAGCCGCTGCACACAGAGGCCAGTAAATGCATGGATGCTGGAATGCATCTGGCCATGTGGGACCTCGGCGAGTTAGTGGGCAGCTGGTTGAAGAGGGACGGTTGCCATCTCCGGGGCATGGCACGTGTGCCCACAGAAAGGGCTGTGACCATTGGGCTAGACAATCACCTGCCTGAGACGGTATAGGTTCTCCTGCTTGAGCAGGGGGCTGGACTAGAAGACTTCCAAGGTCCCTTCTATTCTATTCTATTCTATTCTATTCTATTCTATTCTATTCTATTCCATTCCATATTTTCTATTCTATTCTATTCTATTCCATTCCATATTTTCTATTCTATTCTATTCTTTCATTATTCTATTCTATTCATTCTATTCTATTCTCTATTCTATTTTCAATTCTATTCCTTATTTCTATTCTATTCTATTTTCATTATTCTATTCTATTCCATTCCTTATTTATATTCTATTCTATTCCATTCTATTCTATTCATTCTATTCTATTCTATTCCATTCCTTATTTCTATTCTATTCTATTCCATTCCTATTCTATTCCATTCCATATTTTCTATTCTATTCTATTCTTTCATTATTCTATTCTATTCCTTCATTATTCTATTCTATTCTATTCTCAATTCTATTTTATTCTATTCCTTATTTCTATTCTATTCTATTTTTATTATTCTATTCTATTCCATTCCTTATTTCTATTCTATTCTATTCCTTATTTCTATTCTATTCCATTCCATTCCTATTCCATTCCATATTTTCTGTTCTATTCTATTCTATTCTATTCTATTCTTTCATTATTCTATTCTATTCTCTATTCTATTCTATTCTATTCTATTCTATTCTATTCTGTTCTGTTCTGTTCTATTCTATTCTATCACTGGAAGTCTTTAAACAGAGGTTGGCTCTACATTCTTAAGCTCTCGATGGGAGAAGAAATGCCTGGATCGATGTATTTCTTCAGAATTCAGTTTCAGTTGGATCCTTGGTGCTCTCCGAGCTTGGTGGTTTTCCGGCAGGATGTTACCAACTAGGTAACACAATCAGTGCTATATAACATCATGAGGAAAAAAACCCTCTCCCTTCTAGCACTGATGGTGTTACCTAGCTGGGTAATGAAACGTCTGCAAGAAAACACAACCAAGATCGCAGAGCACCAAGGACTCCACAAAGAACTATCCCTCCATTTGGTAAATCCACCGTTCAATCCTGAGCTACAAATATTCTTTTCTATTTAGTTTTTAGTGCTGGCTAAAAAGCGGTCACTTCTCCTTCAGCACCTGCCAAAAAGGGCGCGGGAGAGGGATACTCGCTTATGCTCGGCAGACAAAAATCATTACAGGTAGTCCTCGACTTACAACTATTCATTTAGTGGCCATTTGAAGTTACAACAGCATTGAAAAAAGTGACTTATGAATGGTCCTCATACTTACAACCACCACCCCCTAGGGACACATGACCAAAATCCAGATACTTGGCAACTGGCATCCATTTATTACAGCTGCAGCACCTGAGGCCATGTGATTGTCATGATTCGTGTGACAACTTTAGTGATTTGCTTAACAACCACAGGGAAAAAAGGCCATCAAAGTGGGTGCGACAGCCTTAACAACTGCCTAGCTTAGTGATGGAAATTCCGGTCCCAATTTTGGTTGTTAAGTCAAGGACTTGCCCCTCAAGCTTTGAGATATGGACAAATATTTTGTAAAAAAAAAATACTATACCTGAATTCCCCGAGCAGTGAGGTGGTCAAATAAGGATTTTCTCATTAACAATCTGCAAACATGGCAAAGGGAACATTGTCATTCCATGTTCAGCGCCCAACTGTCTTTTCCCTCCAAAACAGAGACCAATAAAAAAAACCTGCAAGCCTACTTTTTCCTCAAAATAGCACTTTTCCCCTCAAAATAGCACTTTACTAGCTTATAAAAGTTAACACAATGCATTGGGCCACCCCACGGGTGGGGACTGAAAAGAGTCAAGATGGCGGCTGTGAGCAAGGCCCGGCTCCATTTTGCTGGCTGCAGAACTACAGCAGCCATCTTGACTTTTTGACCACCCCCCCAACACACACACAAATGCTTCTGCCTGTTGAAATAACTGTTGTCAGCAGCACAGTGGACACAGATTAACGCAAGATGATGAAGAAGAGACTTTTTTAAAAAATGGAAGATGAATTTTATTGAGTCAGATGTTACAGGGTTTCAGGCAGAGAAAGTCTTGTCCATCCATCAGTTGTTAACAGACCTTGAAGAAACTGGGGTTCCCTTGGCCTATCTTTCGTCATAAACGGGTGTTGTGAATCGGAACAGAATCTCTGGGCATGTCACAAGTTGAGCTAACCCCTGACATGACTGCAGCGAAGACTGAAGTGCAACAGCTTCCAAACATGGGCAGTTTGGAAACGTGGGCAATTTAGAGCCAGTTTGGTCTAATGCAGGGGTAGGCAACCTTGGCTGTTTTATGACTTGCGGACTTCAACTCCCAGAATTCCTGAGCCAGCCATGCTGAGGAGAAATGGAGAAGTTTCCATGCTGAGCCTTGCTGGCTCAGGAATTCTGGGAGTTGAGGTCCACGAGTTATAAAAGAGCCAAGGTTGCCTACCCCTGGGTCTAGTGGCTAAGGCACCAAGCTAGAAAGCAGGAGACAGTTGAGTCCTAATCACACTTTAGCATGAAAGCTGGCTGGGTGACTTTTGGCCAATCACCAGGAGATGGTGAGATCTAGTCACACCATAGCATGAAAGCTGGCTGGGGGACCTTGGGCCAATCACCATGAGATGGTGAGTTCTAGTCACACCATAGCACAGTGATGGCGAACCTTTTAGAGACTGAGTGCCCAAACTTCAACCCAAAACCCACTTATGTAGTGCCGGGCGCCAGGTGGGCGTGGCTGCTGGATGGGTGTGGCCTGCCGGGTGGGCAGGGCTACAGGTCATGGCAGATGGGTGGGCGTGGCCAACTCAAATGTTGCTCCTGGGGAGGGACACCTCTGGGGGCTGGGCAAGGGTGGGGGAGATCCAGGGGGTCTCTGGCGGGTGGGGCAGTGGGCAGGAGGCTAGTCCTGTGGGGTGAGGTGAGGCAAGGCAAGGCAGGGCAGGGGTGCCATTGTCGCAGGGTGAGGCAGAGACCTGGCACCATTGGCTCCCGTACACAGAGGCCAGCTAGCGCATGAGTGCTGGGATGCATCTGGCCACATGGGACCTGGGCGAGTTAGCGGGCGGCTGGTTGAAGAGGACGGTTGCCATCTCTGGGGCATGGCATGGGTGCCCACAGAGAGGGCTCTGAGTGCCGCCTCTGGCACGCGTGCCCTAGGTTCGCCACCACTGCCATAGCATGAAAACTGACTGGATTACTTTGGCCCCATCGCCAGGAGATTGTGAGTTCTAGTCACACCATAGGATGAAAGCTGGCTGGGCGACTTTGGGCCCATCACCAGGAGATGGTGAGTTCTAGTCACACCATAGGATGAAAGCTGGCTGGGTGACCTTGGGCCAATCACCAGGAGATGGTGAGTTCTAGTCACACCATAGGATGAAAGCTGGCTGGGTGGGCCAATCACCAGGAGATTGTGAGTTCTAGTCACACCATAGGATGAAAACTGGCTGGGTGGCTTTGGGCCAATCACCAGGAGATTGTGAGTTCTAGTCACACCATAGCAGGAAAGCTGGCTGGGTGACCTTGGGCCAATCACCAGGAGATTGTGAGTTCTAGTCACACCATAGCATGAAAACTGGCTGGGTGACTTTGGGCCCATCACCAGGAGATTGTGAGTTCTAGTCACACCATAGGATGAAAGCTGGCTGGGTGACTTTGGGCCAATCACCAGGAGATTGTGAGTTCTAGTCACACTTTAGGCATGAATGCAGACTGGATGACTTTGGGCCAATCGCTAGGAGACAGTGAGTTCTAGTCCTGCCTTAGGCATGAAAGCCAGCTGGGTGACTTTGGGTCAGTCTTCTCTCTCTCAGCCCACCCAACCCCACACGGTTGTTATTGTGGGGAAAATAGGTTAGGTCTGTTGGATACGTTCTCCGCCCTGAGGTCTTTGCAGAAATAATGAGGGCAGGATACAACTAAATAAAAATAAAAAGAAATACAGGCAGGCAGGCAGAAGGATTTATTCTCTGCCCAGAGCAGGCTAACTTAGAAGGAGTCCTGGAATCCTGCAGAGATGCAACAGGCAGCCTCGTTGAGGGATCGGCCAACCCGCAAAAGTAACCAATGAATCCGGGAAGCGGAGTAGATGCCTCTAGCACAGGGCCCGTGGCTTAGAAAAGAGACGATTACCCAGAAAGACAATGGGATGGGAGGAAATGATGGAGAAGGGAGAGAAGAAAGACAGAATGAAACAGAGAGCTGAAGGAAGAAGGGAACCTTACACGTCAATAAGCCATATGGTGAATCGCTGGCTCCTTGAAATCTTCTCCGAGTCTTTCTGTCTGAAATTAAAATAGCAGAAGTGGCGCTTACAGGCAAGGCCTTGACTTACAACCATTCATTTAGTGACCGTTCAAAGTTATAACGGCACTGGAAAAAAAAAGTGACTTAAGACCGTCTTTCAGACTTACGGCTGTTGCAACATCCCCAGGGTCATCTGACCAACATCCTGGTGCTTGGCAAGTGGCACGTATTTACCCTGACTCTAGAAAATTTTGGGGTGATTTTCGATCAATAAAATAATCAATACAGGTAGTCCTCGACCTACGACCACAACTGAGCCCGAAATTGATGTTGTTAAGTGAGACGTTTGTTTGGTGAATTTTGCCCCATTTAAAGATCTTTCTTGCCAGTTGTTAAATTAGGAACACGGTTGCTATGTGAATCCGGCTTCCCCCATCGGCTTTGCTTGTCGGAAGGTCGCAAGTGCGGATCACATCATCTGAGACGCTGCAACCGTTGTTAAGTATAAATCCACTGCCAAGCGTTTGAATTTTGATCACGCGACCGTGGGGGGATGCCGTGAATGGTCATCGTAAGTGCGAAAAACGGTCGTTAAGTCGTTCATTTTCAGTCCCACGGAAACTCTGAACCAGTGGCTCTCAACCTTTTTAATGCCGCGACCCCAACCGGTCGTAAGTCGAGGACTAAACCGGTTGTAAGTCGAGGACTAAACTGGTCGTAAGTCGAGGACTACCCAACCGGTCATAAGTCGAGGACTTTCCCTGCCCAGGAGTACCGCGCATGCGTGGTGCTGCCCCCTGCGCCGGCCGAGGCGTAGCTGGCAAGCGGCAAAGACGGAGCACGCCGACCACCGGCTGGGCCACCAGCTGGCCCAGCCCAAGGGAAGTAAGGCACCCGCCGGAAAAAGGGAAAAAAAATGGTGGACAGCCTTGCTTGGCGACCCCCGTGAAATGGTCGATCGACCCCAAATGGGGTCGCGACCCATAGGTTGAGAACCGCTGCTCTGAACGGTCACGAAGTGAACCGTCGTAAGTCGAGGACTGCCTATACATCCATGATACAAGACTTGCTCGTTGCCAAAGCCGAACAGCCACTTACTTGAGGAAGATGGACGGCATGGGGATCTCCAAAAAGTCCTCCGTGATGGGAAAGAAAGGAAGGAGGCCCGTGTAGAAGAGACCAAGGAGAAGGAGGACACGTCGCAAGCAGAAGAGGATGGGGATGTGGCTGTTCTGAAGGCAGAAAAACCCAGGGACACGGAGGGAAGGTTAATTAAATGACAGGCTTCCATTTTAGGGAATGTCGCTCAAAAATTCATCTGAGAATAACAGTATAACAGAGTTGGAAGGGACCCTGGAGGTCTTCTAGTCCAGCCCCCTGCTCAGGGAGGAAACCCTATAACAGGGGTCTTCAAACGTGGCCCTTTTATGACTGGTGGACTTAAACTCCCAGAATTCCTGAGCCAGCCATGCTGAGGAGAAAGGGAGAGGCTTCCAAGCTGAGCCATGGTGGCTCAGGAATTCTGGGAGTTGAAGTCCACCAGTCATAAAAGAGCCAAGATTGCCTACCCCAGGACTAGGGGGTGACATGATAGCAGTCTTCCAGTATCTCAGGGGCTGCCCCAGAGAAGAGGGAGTCAAGCTATTCTCCAAAGCACCTGAGGGGCAGCACAAGAACCAACGGATGGAAACTCACCAAGGAGAGAAGCAACCTAGAACTAAGGAGAAATTTCCTAATTCAGTGGGTGGATTAGGTTCAGGGACGAGAGCATGTTTCCGTTTACTATGGCTTCAGCGGAGTAAACAAAATAGAACAAACCTCACAAATGAAATGCCGTTCTCCAAAGCGCCTGGAGGCAGGAGAAGAAACAATGGATGGAAATTCATCAAGGAGAGAAGCAACCTGGAACTAAGGAGAAATTTCCTGACATTTAGAACAATTAATCAGTGGAACAACCTGCCTCTGGAAGTTGTGGGTGCTCCATCATTGGAGATTTTTAGGAAGAGATTGGACAATCATTTATTTGAAATGGTGTAGGGCAGGGGTCTTCAAATGTGGCCCTTTTATGACTTGTGGACTTCAACTCCCAGAATTCCTCAGCCAGGCACGCTGATGGAGCACCCACAACTTCTGGAGGCAGGTTGTTCCACTGATTAATTGTTCTAAATGTCAGGAAATTTCTCCTTAGTTCCAGGTTGCTTCTCTCCTTGAGGAGTTTCCATCCGTTGCTTTTGTGCTGCCACTCAGGTGCTTTGGAGAGCGGCATTTCATGTGGCGGGCTGTTCCACTGGCTAACGTCTTGAACAATCGGGATGCTCTTCTTGTTGCCCAGTCTAAAACTCCTTCCTTTCTGCTTAAACCCACCAGTTCTGATTCCCTCCCTCTGTTTGCTTGACGTCAGAGGCCATTTTGTTCTTTCTCTTCAAACAACCCAGGCCGAGGTGTTTGTGAGGTTTGTTCTATTTTGTTTACTCCGCTGAAGCCATAGTAAACGTAAACATGCTCTTGTCCCTGAACCTAATCCACCCACTGAATTAGGAAATTTCTCCTTAATTCTAGGTTGCTTCTCTCTTTGATGAGTTTCCATCCGTTGGTTCTTGTGCTGCTCTCAGGTGCTTTGGAGAATAGCTTGACTCCCTCTTCTCTGGGGCAGCCCCTGAGATACTGGAAGACTGCTATTATGTCACCCCCTAGTCCTGGGATAGGCAACCTTGGCTCTTTTATGACTCGTGGACTTCAACTCCCAGAATTCCTGAGTCAGCATGGCTCAGCTTGGAAGCCTCTCCCTTTCCCCTCAGCATGGCTGGCTCAGGAATTCTGGGAGTTGAAGTCCAGGAGTCATAAAAGAGCCAAGGTGGCCTACCCCTGCCATAGTCCTTCCTTTCATTAAACTAATGAAAACACGAACCACCCACAACAAATATTTCATACATAGACATGGAAATTTAATCTGAGGCCTCCACAGGAACCCTCCATAAAAACGTACAGAAACGTACGCAGGCAACCGTTCAAAGATAGGACCTATGTTAAAAAAATAAAGGGAGGGTAAAACCAACAGGGCTATAATTGTATTTACCTCTTTGTGACACTTTTCCACAACCTCATGGCTGACGCTGCCCCAAACCGTCAAATGTTCTCGTTGATAAGAGCGAACCAATTCGGAAACCTAAGAACAATAGAAATTTTTTTAAAAAAGAAAAATCTGATCTATCAGTTTGAGTGGGGTCCTACATTTTTGGCTGAGCTATCAATCTAGAGGTCTATGGAAATTCTTAAGTCATCCAGGTCATGGACTTTCTTGTATTCCCAACTTTTAGCCCACCTCTTTCTAGTAAGGATGCCTTAGACTTAGACCAAGGGTAGGCAACCTCGGCTTCTCGAGGTAAAAAAAGTCAGTTTTTTCTTTCCCAGGTAAAACACAGATGCCGACTGTCTAGTGCAGGGGTAGGCAACCTTGACTCTTTTATGACTCGTGGACTTCAACTCCCAGAATTCCTGAGCCAGCCTGGCTCAGCATGGAAACCTCTCCATTTCTCCTCAGCGTGGCTGGCTCAGGAATTCTGGGAGTTGAAGTCCACGAGTCATAAAAGAGCCAAGGTTCCCTCCCCCTGGCCTAGATAAGTAGTAGGCAACCTTCTTTTATGACTCGTGGACTTCAACTCCCAGAATTCCTGAGCCAACCTGGCTCAGCATGGAAACCTCTCCATTTCCCCTCAGCATGGCTGGCTGAGGAATTCTGGGAGTTGAAGTCCACCAGTCATAAAAGAGCCAAGGTTCCCTCCCCCTGGCCTAGATCAGTAGTAGGCAACCTTGGCTCTTTTATGACTGGTGGACCTCAACTCCCAGAATTCCTGAGCTGGCATGGCTCCGCTTGGAAACCTCTCCCTTTCTCCTCAGCATGGCTGGCTCAGGAATTCTGGGAGTTGAAGTCCATGAGTCATAAAAGAGCCAAGGTTGCCTACCCCTGACTTAGACCAATAAGTTTCTCAACCATGCCAACTTTTAAGATGTGTGGACCTTGAACATCCAGCTTGGCTGGTTGGGGAATTCTGGGAGTTGAAGTCCACCCCCCCCAAAGCCTGCTGGCCTGGGAATTCTGGGAATTGAAGTCCACTCATCTTAAAGCACGCTGTCTGGGGAATTCTGGGTTATGGTCCACCCAACTTAAAAGCATGCTGTCTGGGGATTTCTGGGAGTTGAAGTCCACTCATCTTAGAACAGAGCTGGAAGGGGCCTTGGAGGTCTTCTAGTCCAGCCCCCCCCCCCCAAGCAGGAGAACCCATCTCAGAAAGTGACTGTCCAGCCTCTTCTTAAAAATCTCCAGTGATGAAGCGCCCACAATTTCTGGAGGCAAGCTGTTCCACTGGCTAATTGTCCCTCAAGCATTCTCCGTGGGGAATTCTGGGAGTTGAAGTCCACTTATCGTAAGCTTGAGAAACACCAGTTTAGATTACAGCCATGAGGATAATGCATTCCCCACTTCTCCTGCCTGACCACCCTTGAGGAACCTGGCCACTGTTGTCCTCACTTCAAAGCCATCATTGGCCCAGCCACAAGTGAGGAGAACCTAAAGGAGGAGGTGGAATGAGACTTACCTTCTTAATCAGTTGGTCATTGTTCACTTTGATGTCAATGTTGACTGGCGTGTGGGGAAAGGCCTCAAACACCTCTTGAAGGAGAGGGATGCGTTTGTCTTCACCTTCACACGGGCATTCTGAGGTACACAAGCAGAATTTGGTGGCTGCTGAGGATATGGGGAACTTTTTGACAGTTTGAGTCTCACCGGCTCAAGGTTGACTTAGCCTCCCGTCCTTCCGAGATCGGTAAAATGAGGACCCGGATTGTTGAGGGCCAGGGGCTGACTCTGTAAAACGCTTAGAGCAGTGGTTCTCAACCTTTTTAATGCCGCGACCCCCAACCGGTCGTTAAGTTGAGGACTACTTAACTGGTGCAGCACTGTTTGCAGAATGGGACTTTTGGCAGGCTCAGCAGGGCTGAGACAGCCTGGACAATTCCTGTTGGCTTTTGAAAGCCAATAGAATTAGACTCTATTCAAGAGAGTCTATTCTATTGGCTTTCAAAAGCCAATAGAATAAAAGGGAGTAGCACAGCTAAGGAAAAGGGGGGGGGGAAATGGCGGACTGCGTTGTTTGGCAACCCCCGTGAAATGGTCGTTCGACCCCAAATGGGGTCCCGACCCACAGGTTGAGAACCACTGGCTTAGAGAGGGCTGTAGAGCACTGTGAAGCAGTATATAAGTGCTATTGCTTGCTTGCTTGCTTGCTTCCTTCCTTCCTTTCTTTCTCTCCCTCCCATTTATTTATTTATTTATTTATTTATGAGACTTATATACCGCTTTAAGTGCAAGCACTCTCTAAGCGGTGTACACCAGTAAGCAATGTATATATATATATTTACATTGCCCCCAACAATCTGGGTCCTCATTTTACCTACCCCGGAAGGATGAAAGGCTGAGTCAACCTTGAGCCGGTGAGATTTGAACCGCTGACCTGCTGAACAGTCAGCTAAAGTGGCCTGCAGTACTGCACTCTAACTGCTGCGCCACCTCGGCTCCTTCCTTCCTTGTTATGGTGGCACAGTGGTTAAAATGCAGTATTGCAGGCAAACTCTGCCCATCGTCAGGAGTTCGATCCTGACCAGCTCAAGGTCGACTCGGCCTTCCGTCCTTCCGCGGTTGGTAAAATGAGGACCCAGATTGTTGGGGGCCATACACTGATCCTGTAAACTGCTTAGAGAGGGCTGTAAAGCACTGAAGCGGTATATAAGTGCTATTGCTACTGGCAGCTACCCTGGGCCGGTTGGCACCCAGATCCCCCATAGAAATAATCCTGGATTTTGTAACTCTCAAAAGACAGACGGTGCAATCCTTTGAGGACTTTCTCATTTGGGTCTGTCTCCGAGAGGTGGTCCCATCTCAATGTCTTCCAGCAGAAGGACCCTGGGACATTCTCACATCCAGAACAATTCTCGCTGTATTGCTGCAAAGCTAAAACATCCATCCCGGCGGCTATTCAGTGAATCTGCCACAGCTGGATTCACACAAGGCTGAGCTGACATGTAAACCCTATCAGTAAAAAAAGAGGAAAATGGAGGAATCTCAACATACTGGTTGCCTATTGGTCTCCAGGTCCAATTCAAGGTGTTGGTTATTACCTTTAAAGCCCTATATGGCTCAGGGCCAGGCTATTTGCGAGACCGCCTACTACCTCATAGTTCCCTTCGTCCGCTTAGATCCCACAGGCTGGGCCTCCTTCAGGCCCCGTCGGCCAAGCAGTGCCATTTGGCGGGGCCGCGGGGGAGGGCTTTCTCTGTGATGGCGCCCATGTCTTGGAACCAGCTCCCCCCGGAGATTAGGACCGCTCCCACCCTGTTGGTTTTCCGTAAACTACTTAAGACCTGGCTTTTCCGGCAGGCCTGGGGTTTATAAAATCTGACCCCTGGATGACTGTTATTGTATTGTTTGTTTTGTCATGTTATATGGTGTTTTTATTGTTAGCCGCCTGGAGTCCTACGGGAGTGGGGCGGTTTATAAATTTTAAAAATAAAATAAAAAAAATAAATACGAGTGATCCTGGATTTTTTTTTTTAGAGCAAGGGTTCTCAATGTTGGCAACTTTAAAATGGGTGGATTTCAAGTCCCAGAATTCCCCAGCCAAAAATGCTTTAAGATGGGTGGACCATCTGCATTTAAAAGACAAAGGCCGCTCTTTTGAAGATAGCAAAGTGCACATTTTGGACAGAGAGGACCGCTGGTTTGAAAGAGGGGTCAAAGAGGCCATCTAGGTCAAAACTGAGCAGCCCTCCCTCAACGGAGGGACAAAACACCATCTCCCTCCAGTCGACAACACGGTCCTTTCAGCAGGTCCAAGAAGGCTCCACACCCATTTGCACCACTCAGGTGACCCTGAGGACACAGATAACCCTCCAAGTAGCCTCAACGCCTCTCTCTTAATGAAGGCAAATATAAATCCTTCCATTCCCCACCCTCCAGTCAGAGCTGAAGAAGCTTCTTGATGAGAAGTGAAGAAAAGAAAAACAGGAAAGTCCAGTTGCCTCGTGAAAAAGCACCTTTGGGACCACCATGACCTGGAGGACTGAGGATCTTCATGGACTCTCACCTGCTTTGAAAGCATGAAGTTAAAGAGAGCAACAGACACTCCAATTTCAAATTAGGAATGCTGATAGACCAGCATTATTGGTCTATCAGCAATGTAGCAATAACACCCCCCTCCCCCGAAAAAATGCATATTCTGCAAACATTCAGATCTTCAAATTATTACCTCTCTGGAAAGTGACATCCAACTTGCAGAGATACGGAGGGAGTTCCTTTGAAAAGAAAAAAAATGTCAGCTTAAATACACAGAGGTTCAGAGACGTAAAATCAGAATAAACTTTATCCAAGGTCATGTTGCTTTGATCCCCCAATGATTTCACTAGAAATCGCTAGTGCTGTTCTATCCCAGCCTATTGCCGTCCTTGTTAAAGGCACAAGGACCAAACCCCTGTTGATAAAATAGGCTGGAGACTTTAAAACAAAACAAATCCCTTTTAATATGGGTGACAAACCTGCCAAATAGTCCAAAACACAAACAGCAAAACTCAAGTCCAAAGGAAGGAAATAATCCACAGGAAACACAATGCAAACAGAAGAGTAGTCACAAGCAAGACGAACAGACCAGGATTCCAAGAAGCACTTTGCAAACGGTTGCCTTCAGCAACCAGCATCGCCCACACCTCCTCTTTTTATACAGCAGTCCCAAGGCGTTGCCTCTCATTGCCTTCTCCTTTTACTCTGGAGTTGCCGTATTGACTGCTGCTGATTTACTCTCGCTAATTGACGGCGTGTGCGAGCATCAATTAGCAAGTCCATCAGGTGTGAGTCCTCCGAGTCTGACTCATTCTCCTCACACAGCTGAGCTTCATCAGGAACACGACTGGAGGGCCCAGGCTCTGCATCAAACCGTGAGTCCTGTAATTCATCAGAGCCTCCCTCTGCCCCCGATGGCCCTTCAAATGCCTCCTCCACCTCCTCCTCAGATTCCTCAGACTCCGCTGTTGGGAGCACAGGCTGGCACGGAATCACAATAAGTGCTTATAGAGGTAGTCCTTGACGTAGGATCACAATTGGGACAGGAACTTCCGTTGCTAAGTGAGGAGGTTGTTAAGGTACCAATTTTATGACCTTTTTTTGCTGCGGTTGTTAAGCGAATCACAGGGTTGTTAAGCGAATCTGGCTTCCCCCAGCAACTTTGTCGGAGGTTGCAAACGGGGATCCCATGACCCAGGATACTGCAACTCTCATGAATACCAGTCAGTTGCCAAGCGTTCAATTTTGAACATGTGACGATGGAGATGCTGTAATGGTTGTAACTGTGAGGACCAGGGAATCTATTGTTTAATGAAGTAAGCTTTCGAGCGGTAAAACCAGAGCTGGTTTCGCTGCTTCTGTGCCAGTGTAAATTTTCAGTAAAGTATTATACTCTTGGTCAGGGGTCTTCAAACTTAGCCCGTTTATGACTTGTGGACTTCAACTCCCAGAATTCCTCAGCCAGGCACGCGTGCCTGGCTGAGGAATTCTGGGAGTTGAAGTCCACAAGTCATAAACGGGCCAAGTTTGAAGACCCCTGCTCTCAATAAAAATCATGTGCCAGGAGTTTCTTTTTTCTGGAAATGCCAACTCGACAGTTGACAAAACTACCGTGCTTACCCACGGAAATTTTGGCCTAAGTCAAGGACCACCTGTAATATTTTTAAGCGATCCCTCAAAACTGAAATTAAGACAACATTTCGGTCTTTTTCATTTGATCAATTAAAAAAAAAACACAAAAAAAACCCCAAGAAAGGTCCTTTAAGCTGAAGAAACGAGGGGGAAAACCGTAGGCCAGTGGTGGCGAACTTTATGGCACGCGTGCCAGAGGCGGCACTCAGAGCCCTCTCTGTGGGCACGCATGCCATGCCCCGGAGATGGCAACTGTCCCTCTTCAACCAGCCGCCTGCTAACTCGCCGAGGTCCCACGTGGCCGGATGCATTTCGGCACGGCTGGTTTCCCTCCCCCCCGCCATCCCATCCCTCCTGGCCTCGCATGCTTTCCTTTTCCTGGGCACGACCCACTGAATCGCCTCCTCAGCTGTCAGCCTGCTATCCAGCTCAGAGGTGGCTTCTTTGAACTGCTGGCAGCGGGCTGCACCAATCAAGGGTCCAGCAGGCTGTGGCTGCTGACGGACACTGTCGGCCCTCATACGCTCGCTGGCCTCTGTGCACGGGGGCTGATGGTGTCAGCTAGCAGCCGCCCTGGCCCTTGCCTTGCCCCATGGCAATGGCACCCCCGCCCTGCCTTACCTCCCCCTGCAGGACAAGCCTCCTGCTCCACCTGCCAGAGACTCCCTGGATCTCCCCCAACCCTGCCCACCCCCCACAGGCATCCCTCCCCATGAGCAACATTGAGGTGACCACACCCACTTTGGCCACAGCCACCCAATCTGCCATGACCTCCACAGCCACGCCCACCCCGTGGGCCACGCCCCCCTGGCACCCGGCGATAAATAAGTGGGTTTTGGGTTGCAGTTTGGGCACTCGGTCTCTAAAAGGTCACCACTGCGTTAGGCGGCCTCCCTCCTGTTAGTGAGAACAAATGAGGGTCCTCTCTAGGAGATGCTCAACACTTTGCATTTTTTTAAATTTATTTTTATTTATGAGACTTATATACCGCTTTAAGTGCAAGCACTCTCTAAGCGGTGTACACCAGTAAGCAATGTATATATATATTTACATTGCCCCCAACAATCTGGGTCCTCATTTTACCTACCCCGGAAGGATGGAAGGCTGAGTCAACCTTGAGCCAGTGAGATTTGAACTGCTGACCTGCTGAACACAGTCAGCTAAAGTGGCCTGCAGTACTGCACCCTAACTCCTTTTCAAGCCTATGTATAAGCCACAAAAGTTCAGGTAGACCTCAACTTACAACCATCCCCAAGGACAGCTGATCAAAATTGGAGCACTAAGCAAGTGGCCCCCAACCTTTTGGGCACCAGGGACCGATTCCGTGGAGAGAGGGTTTTCCGCGGACCGGAGGGGGTGTGGATTTGCGTGCTGCCTGCATCCTGAGGATGGGGCTTTGAATCCGGACCATTTTCTGGCAAGTTGCGAATCGGTGCCGGTCCATGGCCCGGGGGTTGGGGACCCCTGCACTAGGCAACTGAGGACCACATGACCCTAGGACAGGGGTAGGCAACCTTGGCTCTTTTATGACTCGTGGACTTCAACTCCCAGAATTCCTGAGCCAGCACCCAATTTTGATCATGTGACGATGGAGATGCTGCAACGGTTGTAAATGTGAGGACCCGGGAATCTATTGTTTAATTAAGTAAGCTTTCGAGCAGGAAAACCAGAGGTGGTTTCGCTTCTTCTGTGCCAATGTAAATTTTCAGTCAAGTATTATACTCTTGGTCAGGGGTCTTCAAACTTGGCCTTTTTATGACTTGTGGACTTCCTGGCTGGCTCAGGAATTCTGGGAGTTGAAGTCCACGAGTCATAAAAGAGCCAAGGTGGGCTGAGGAATTCTGGGAGTTGAAGTCCACGAGTCATAAAAGAGCCAAGGCTGGCTCAGGAATTCTGGGAGTTGAAGTCCACGAGTCATAAAAGAGCCAAGGTTGGCTCAGGAATTCTGGGAGCTGAAGTCAACGAGTCATAAAAGAGCCAAGGTTGGCTCAGGAATTCTGGGAGTTGAAGTCCACGAGTCATAAAAGAACCAAGGTTGGCTCAGGAATTCTGGGAGTTGAAGTCCACGAGTCATAAAAGAGCCAAGGTTGGCTCAGGAATTCTGGGAGCTGAAGTCAACGAGTCATAGAAGAGCCAAGGTTGGCTCAGGAATTCTGGGAGCTGAAGTCCACGAGTCATAAAAGAGCCAAGGTTGGCTCAGGAATTCTGGGAGTTGAAGTCCACGAGTCATAAAAGAACCAAGGTTGGCTCAGGAATTCTGGGAGCTGAAGTCTACGAGTTATAAAAGAGCCAAGGTTGGCTCAGGAATTCTGGGAGCTGAAGTCCACGAGTCATAAAAGAGCCAAGGTTGGCTCAGGAATTCTGGGAGCTGAAATCCCCGAGTCATAAAAGAGCCAAGGTTGCCTACCCCTGCCCTAGGACAATACAACCGTCATAAATACATGCGAGTTGCTAAGCGCCTGAATTTTGACCAAGTGACTATGGGGATGCTGCAATGGTTGTAAGTGGAAAAAGCGGTCATAAGTCACTTGTTTCAGTAACAGTGCCAGTGTACCTTCAAACGGTCACTAAACAAATGATTGTAAGTCAAGGACTAGCCGTCTTGTGAAACTTGGTCCAAACGCATCACCTATTCATTGTAAGCCTCAATCACATGGGCATGCTTATCCACTGACATTTAAAGGCAGGAGCTGAAGCCCTAGGACAGTGATGGCGAACCTTGTAGAGACCGAGTGCCCAAACTGCAACCCAAAACCCACTTATGCATCGTCGGGTGTCGGGTGTGTGTGGCCCATTGGGTGGGCGTGGAGCATTCACCGCTTCTGGAGGCAGGTTGTTCCACTGGTTAATTGTTCTAACTGTCAGGAAGAGAAGGAGGAGGAGGAGGAGGAGAAGAAGAAGAAGAAGTTGGAAGGGATCTTGGAGGTCATCTAGTCCAACCCCCTGCTCAGGAAGGAAACCCTATACCAGTGATGGCAGACCTTTTAGAGACTGAGTGCCCAAACTGCAACCCAAAACCCACTTATGCATGGTGGGTGTGGCCCATTGGCTGGGTGTGGCCCATTGGGTGGGCATGGCCACGGTGGTAACGGCAGACTGGGTGGGACTAAAAAGTTCAATCAATCAATTCCAACTTTGCAAGATCTTTTTTTTCCCACGAGAAGTTGAAATTGACTGATTGATTGAACCTTTTTTTTTTTTTTCACACACGGCGGCGGAGGCCTAAAGCGAAAAGGTTTTATAAAACCCAGCTGAAGGCCCAGGACTGGGGCGACAGCCCGCATGCCCACAGAGAGGGCTCTGAGTGACGCCTCTGGCACCCGTGCCATAGGTTCGCCACCACTGCCCTAGGAGTTTGGCAAGGCTGTGGGTACCGTCTCTCATCTGGCTGATGGTCTTTGGCAAACAAAAGGAAGAGAAGGATGCTTACTTCAACTTACTGAGTATTTGAGGTCGGCTATATTGACGTCCACCCCGGTCGACCGCTTCAGATTCCTGTCGTGCAAAACCACCACTTGTTCATCCTTGGTTAAATGGCAGTCAAGTTCCAGCATATCGGTACCCATGTTGACTGCGCTGAAAACAGAGGACAACGGTTAAGATTTCCCTTTTCAGATTCAGACCGATCATGCACAGCTATAACAGAGGAGTTAAGAGAATAACAGAATTAACACAGTTGGAAGGGACCTTGGAGGTCTTCTAGTCCAGGGCTTTTCAACCGGTGGTACGAGTTCCAGGTTGCTTCTCTCCTTGATTAGTTTCCATCCGTTGCTTCTTGTCCTGCCTTCAGGCGCTTTGGAGAATAGCTTGACTCCCTCTTCTTTGGGGCAGCCCCTCAAATATTGGAGCACTGCAATCATGTCCCCCCTAATCCTTCTTTTCATTAAACTAGACATATCCAGTTCCAGCAATGAGAACAGCCTAAGTAGGAAAACATGTAGAAAAATCAGGATTCTTTTTTCATATACTGGTATGGATTTTATAAAACTGTTCAAAATGGACATATGGGTGGTCCTTCAGTTACAACCATTCCTTTAGTGACTGTTCAAACTTACAACAGCACTGAAAAAAAGGGACTCATGACCACTGTTCATACTTAACAACTGTTGTAGCGTCCCCATGGTCACGTGATCCAAATCTGGACGCTGGGCAACTGGCTCATATTTACGACACGGTTCAGGTGTCCCAAGCTCACACGATCCTCTTTTGCAACTTTCTGACACGCAAAATCAACAGGGAAGCCATATTCCCTTAACAAGCTGTCTTCCTAACTCAGGGGTAGGCAACCTGAATTCTCCCAGAATTCCTGAGCCAGCATGGGGGAACTATGGCCTCTTTATGACTTGTGGACTTCAATTCCCAGAATTCCTGAGCCAGCATGAGGGAACTATGGCCTCTTTATGACTTGTGGACTTCAACTCCCAGAATTCCTGAGCCAGCATGAGGGAACTATAGCCTCTTTATGACTTGTGGACTTCAGCTCCCAGAATTCCTGAGCCAGCATGGAGGAACTATGGCTTCTTTATGACTTGTGGACTTCAACTCCCAGAATTCCTGAGCCAGCATGAGGGAACTATGGCCGCTTCATGACTTGTGGACTTCAACTCCCAGAATTCCTGAGCCGGCATGGCTCAGCTTGGAAACCTCTGCCTTTCTCCTCAGCATGGCTGCCTCAGGAATTCTGGGAGTTGAAGTCCACAAGTCATAAAAGAGCCAAGGTTGCCTACCCCTGTCCTAACTTAACAACAGCAGCAATTCATTTAACGACCAGGGCGAGAAAGGTCGTAAAACGGGGTCAAAACTCACTTACCTGTCTTGCTTAGGAACGTGAATTTTGCACTCCGTTGCACTGCTGTGTTATCACCTTCCTCTCTCCTGGGGTCTTCTTAAAGAAATCTAAACCACGAATGTAAGCTAGCTCTCTTCCTAGAAATGAACTTTTCGCAGCTTTAGAAGGCATGTATTTGAGCCTACATTTTGCTGCCATGGTGATCAGAAGCTTTCAATAGTCCCATTCAGACGGAAAAGGATTGGCAATGCCAAGGGCTGGAAATAAGATCGTACTTTCTGCGGTTAATACCCGGTACAAAAGAAAGAATGAATGGAGAAAGAGAGAGAGAGAAAACAACCCAATCCCGTTATAATCTCAGCTGCCTCACAAAGAAACTGGAGGTTTATTTTGTTTTCCCCAACTGACTTACCGCTGAAAATACTCTTGTCACTCAGATTAACTATTTCCTTAGAAAAGAGGGGCTTTGACAGCGATATTGATCCTGAAAATCCACATGTTAATGTTGCAATCTACAGCCAGTCCACTTTTACTGTGTTCTCAACGGACTTGCAGAAATTGAAACGGTGAGCCATGTAGGTTGCAAACCGAACTATCCGACTGAGATATTCTAAGCGAATCAGCCGGATCCTGTTACATAAAGTCCCATTTTACAGATTTTGAGAGAATGTTTATTTATTTGTTTTGCACTTGCACTCCTGGGCTGCATTAACCTAATCAAGATCACATGAAGCCGATTTAAAAGGCCTTGGTAAGGCCACACCTGGAATTACGGCATCCAGTTTTGGTCGCCACGATGTAAAAAAGATGTTGAGACTCTAGAAAGAATGCAGAGAAGAGCAACAAAGATGATCAGGGGACTGGAGGCTAAAACATACAAGGAACGGTTGCTGGAATTGGGTATGTCTCGTTTAATGAAGAGAAGGACGAGGGGGGACAGGATAGCAAGTCTTCCAATATCTCAGGGGCAGCCCCAAAGAAGAGGGAGTCAAGCTATTTTCCAAGGCGCCTGAAGGCAGGACAGGAAGCAACGGATGGAAACTAATCAAGGAGAGAAGCAACCTGGAATTAAGGAGGAATTTTCTAACAATGAGGACAATTAACCAGTGGAACAGCCTGCCTCCAGAAGCTGTGAATGCTCCATCACTGGAGGTTTTCAAGAAGAGACTGGACAACCTTTTATTTAGAATGGTATAGGGCACAGGTCGGCAACCTGCGGCTCCAGAGTCGCATGCGGCTCTTTGAGCCTTCCCCTGTGGCTCCCAGACTCCTCTGCCATTTGCAGAGAGAGATAGAGACAGAGAGGGGCACTTGCGTTTCCCTGCTTCTCTCTCTCTCTCTCTCTCTCTCTCTCTCTCTCTCTCTCTCTCTCTCTCTCTCTCTCTCTGTGTGTGTGTGTGTGTGTAAGACAGTGGACTCATGGTGTTCTCCAAGAAGCTGAAGCAGGAAGCAGGAAGGGCAGGAGAGAGCTAGCTAGCCCAGCTAGGCTGACTCAGGAATTCTGGGAGTTGAAGTCCACGAGTCATAAAAGAGCCGAGGTTGCCTACCCCTGAGCTTGTTGGAGAACAGCTTGAAGCCAGCTTGCCAGGTGAGCAGCAGATCGGAGAGAGGGGGAGAGAGGGGGAGAGAGAAAGAGAGAGAGAGAGAGAGAAAGAGGTGGGGGTGAGGGAGAGAGAGAGAGAGAGGAAAGAGAGAGAAAGAGAAAGAAAGTGTGGGGGAAGAGGACTGGCAGACCAAGTGCAGAGAGAGAGGGAGAGAGAGAGACAGAGAGAGACCCTTTTGATATCTAAAATGAAGATAACACTTCATATATCCTTTTTTACCTTTATTATAGGTGTGTGTGTGTGTGTATACATACACACACACAAACACATACACACACACACACCTATAATAAAGGTAAAAAAGGATATATGCAGTGTTATCTTCATTTTAGATATCAAAAGGGTTTTGTGGCTCCCAGTGTTTTGTTTTCGGTAGGAAACAGGTCCAAGTGGCTCTTTGAGTGTTTTGGGTTGCCTACGCCTGGTATAGGGTCTCCTACCTGAGCAAGGGGTTGGACTAGAAGACCTCCAAGGTCCCTTCCAACTCTGTCATTCTCTTAAGGGCAATAGGCCAGTATGGTGCGTCAAAATCAGAATAGGAGAAACAAGCTTGGACAACTTCCAACCTTAATACTAAGAATCCAGTGGAATCGCAGATATACAGGTAGTCCTCGACTTACAACAGTTCATTTAGTGACTGTTTGAAGTTACAATGGCACTGAAAAAGTGACTTATGACCATTTTTAACACGACCGTTGCAGCATCCCCAAGATCACGTGATCAAAATTCGGACACTTGGCAACTGACTCACAGTTACGACGGTCGCAGTGTCCCGAGGTCACATGATCCCTCCTTTTGTGACCTTCAGGCAAGCAAAGTCAAATGGGGAAGGCAGATTCACTTAACAGCTGTGTGGCTAACTGAACAACTGCGGCGATTCCCTTAACAACGGCGGCAAGGAAGGTCATAAAATGAGGCAAAATTCTCCTAATAAATGTCTTGCTTAGCCACAAAAAAAGATTACCTGTATCCGTATTGAATCTCTCCTGCGGGTATATGAGGCAGAAAAAGTGTGTCTGGCACATTTGCTTTGTTTGTTTATCATATTTTTCAAAGAACCATGTCCTTCACAGATGGATTCTGGGCGGTGCCCCATAAAATATTAAAACATACAATGAAAGTTAAAATTTAAAAAGAGGCGGAACCTTTTAAGTGGAGCAAAGGATCTCCAGGGACAAAGTCTGCATGGATCCTTTTCCTTGGAACATCCAACGGACAGCATGCTCACCTTCTATTTACACAAGTGTTACTCACTGTGCCAACATACGTGACACTTTACACAGGTGTTATTCACTGGGCCTCCCTCTAGAACAGGGGCCTTCAAACGTGGCCCTTTTATGACTTGTGGACTTCAACTCCCAGAATCCCTCAGCCATACGAGACTAGACAATCAAGCAGTAAACAATCCACCAACCAAGGAACTACCAATTCTGACAAACAGTTGAGCAATAAACCATAATCAAGGTACCTCCAAGAAAACAACACTAACGCCAACACTGACAGGGAAAACCATGATATATAAACAGAGCGCCAACCCCATTCTCTTCTAGTCCTGAAGATGTTTCCTAGTTGGGTCATGAAATGTCTGCAAGAAAACCACCAAGCTCAAGAGATCACCAAGGCCACACTCCTCCTCCTTCTCCTTCTCCAGCCCCACCCCCTTCTAGCACTGATGATGTTACCTAGTTGGGTCATGAAATGTCTGCAAGAAAACCACCAAGCTCAGAGAGCACCCAGGACCCCACAGGACTCCTCCTCCTCCTCTCCACAAACCTCACTTCCTTCTAGCACTGATGACACTACCTAGTTGGGTCATGAAACGTCTGCAGGAAAACCACCAAGCTTAGAGAGCACTAAGGAACCCACAGTTCCCCTCCTCCTCCTCCTCCTCCTCCTCCTCCTCCTCCTCTTTGCACGCTCCCCTCCCTTCTAGCACTGTTGATATTACCTAGTTGGGTCATGAAACGTCTGCAAGAAAGCCACCAACCTCAGAGAGCACCAAGGACCTCACAGTTCAACCCAGAGCTACCAATATTCTCTTCCATCGGCAGCACAAAAAAATATCTATATAACTCAGAAGCCCAAACAAAAACGCTTTGAGATGTAGTTATTTAATGGGCACAGTGCATTTCGGTACTGCCTTTCCACTTTAAATCTGGGGATTATCCCTGGAGTGTTCCTATTCTTGCAAAATATTACAAGTGCGTAAAACCAAGGGTAAGTTACGATTAGGACTCCTGGGCCACCAGCACACAGGCGAGGGGTCAGTTGCACAAAGAGGACAAAAGCAGTTTTGCGTTTGCCTATGAAAGAAAATCCACCTCTCCTGAGCTATTCTATGGAGATGTTGATCTTAAACCAATGATCTTGGGCAAGTTGCAACTCGCACGCTGCTTTTCTCTCGCCATAAACAGGAAAACACTTTTCCAAAACAGGATAAAAATTGCATTCACCAACCAGGGGACAGAAGGGGGGTGATGGGAATAAAGGAAGGAAACAAGGTACAAGAAGAAACTTCCTGGCAGTAAGAACAATTAATCAGTGGAAGAACTTGCCTCCAGAATGGATCTTTTTAAGAAGAGACTGGACAACCATTTGAGGTGGTATGGGGTTTCCTGCCTGAGTTAGGGGGTTGGACTAGAAGATCTCCAAGGTCCCTTCCAACCTATTCTATTCTATTCTATTCTATTCTATTCTATTCTATTCTATTCTATTCTATTCTATTCTATTCTATTCTATTCTATTCTATTCTATTTTCTATTCTATCCTATCCTCAATCAATATTTCTATTCTATTCTATTTCTATTCTATTCTAATATTATTCTATTCTATTCTATTCTATTCTATTCTATTCTATTTTCTATTCTATTCTATCCTATCCTCAATACAGATTTCTATTCTATTCTATTCTTCTCTATTCTATTCTAATATTATGCTATTCTATTCTATTCTATTCTATTCTATTCTATTCTATTCTATTCTAATATTATTCTCTTCTCTTCTCTTCTCTTCTCTTCTCTTCTCTTCTCTTCTCTTCTATTCTATGGAGAAGACCTAATGAACCGGTAGTCCTTGACTTACGACTGCAATTAGCCCAAAATTTCCATTGCTAAGCAAGATAGCTGTTACATGAGTTTTGCCCATTTTACGACTTTTTTTTAAATTGCCACCGTTGTTAAGTGAATCACTGCAGTTGTTAAGTTAGTAACAGGGCTGTTAAGCAAATCTGGCTTCCCCATGGACTTTGCTTGTCAGAGGGTGGCCAAAGAGGATCACATGACCTTGGGACCCTGCAACCCATCATAAATACAGGAAGTCCTCAACTTACAACGGTTTGTTTAGTGACCGTTCGAAGTTACATCACTGAAAAAGTGAGTTATGACCGTTTTTCGCACTTACAGCCCTTACAGCAACCTCCCCATGATCACATGGTCAAAATTCAGATGCTTGGCATATTTATGATAGTTGCAGTGCCCCGGGGTCACGTGATCCCCTTTTGTGACCAATGGGAAAGCCAGATTCACTTAACAACCCGTGTTGCTAATTTAACAAGTGCAGTGATTCACTTAACAATGGTGGCAAGAAAAGTCGTAAAAACGGGGCAAAATTCACTTAACAAATGTCTCGCTAATCAACACAAATTTTGGCTCAACTGTGGTCGTAAGTCAAGGACTTACTGTAAAATGCCAGTTGCCAAGTGTCTGAATTTTGATCACGTGACCCCGGGAATGCTGCCATGGTTTTAAGTGTTAACCAACACTTTTTTCAGTGACGTCGTAACTTTAAATGGTCATTAAATGAACTGTTGTAAGTCGAGGACATACCTAGACTGGTATGTGAATAATCTTGAGAGCGGGCGGGAGGGGGGGGGAAGCTGAATCCTCTGGTCAGAGAAGAGATATCTTAGTCCCGTGGTGGCGAACCCATGGCACGGGTGCCAGAGGCGGCATTCAGAGCCCTCTCTATGGGCACGCGCGCCATCACCCCAGTCCTAGGCCTTCAGCTGGGTTTTATAAAACCTTTTCGCTTTAGGCCTCCGCCGCTGTGTGCAAAAAAAAAAAAAAAGGTTTAATCAATCAATTACAACTTCTCAAGGGAAAAAAAAAGATCTTGCAAAGTTGGAATTGATTGATTGATCTTTTTAGTCCCACCCAGTCTGCCGTTACCACCGCAGCCACGTCCATCCAATGGGACACCCCCCCCCCAATTGGCCACAGCCAGCCAGCACTCGACGATGCATACGTGGGGTTTGGATTGCAGTTTGGGCACTCGGTCTCTAAAAGTTTCACCATCACTGAGCTACACAGTCACCTGCCTGAGACAGTATAGCAGTGGTGGTGAACCTATGGCATGGGTGCCAGAGGCGGCACTCAGAGCCCTCTCTGTGGGCATGCGCCGTCACCCCAGTCCTAGGCCTTCAGCTGGGTTTTATAAAACCTTTTCGCTTTAGGCCTCCGCCGCCGTGTACAAAAAAAAAAAAGGTCCAATCAATCAGTCAATTTCAATTTCTTGTGGGGAAAAAAAAAGATCTCGCAAAGTTGGAATTGATTGATTGAACTTTTTAGTCCCACCCAGTCTGCTATTACCACCACAGCCACGCCCACCCAATGAGCCACACCCAGCCAATGAGCCATGCCCAGCCAATGGGCCACACCCAGCCAATGGGCCACGCCCACCCAGCACCCGACGATGCATAAGTGGGGCTTTGCGTTGCAGTTTGGGCACTCGGTCTCTAAAAGGTTCGCCATCACTGTCTTAGCCCATAAAAGGAAACGGGGTGCGGGAAGTATTTCAGGAAGGACCTTCCCTAGTTTTGACTGATGGGGAATTGTGGGAATTGAAGTCCACAGGCTTGAAAAACATTGTCAGCTCTGCCTGGTTCAACTTGGCGCCTCACAGGCACCCTGCCATCGAAAGAAGAAGGGGGAGGGAGGATGAAAGAGGGAAGAAAGGAGGAAGGATAAAAGGTTAAGCAAGCTTTGGGTGGACATGATAGGAGATCGGGAGGCGGGGCAGAATCACAGGTGAGACGGCCCAGAACAGATCCTGGATAACAGATCCTGATTCTAGCAGCATCCCACGGCCAAGTACCCTGAGAAATATGAGGATTACCCCCAAACCTCTCAAAACAGCTTAGCGAAGTTCGGCTGGCTGGAAACGGACAGGTCACAGGGATGAGCTGGGAGCAAACCTACACCTTAGTTTTGTATCTAGCGAATGCGGGAGATTTCAGAGCTGGCGTGACTTTACAGCAACCAACATCCTTAGTAAAAAAAAAAAAGAATCCTTTACGTCAGTGGTTCTCAACCTGTGGGTCGGGACCCCATTTAGGGTTGAACGGCCATTTCACGGAGGTCGCCAAACAACGCAGTCCGCCATTTTTTCCCCCCTTTTCCTTGGCTGTGCTACTCCCTTTTATTCTATTGGCTTCTGAAAGCCAATAGAATAGACTCTCTTGAACAGAGTCTAATTCTATTGGCTTTCAAAAGCCAATAGGAATTGTCTAGGCTGTCTCTGCCCTGCTGAGCCCGCCAAAAGTCCCATTCTGCAAACGGTGCTGCACCAGTTGAGTAGTCCTTGACTTACGACCGGTTGAGTAGTCCTCGACTTACGACCGGTTGGGGGGGGGGTCGCGGCATTAAAAAGGTTGAGAACCACTGCTTTACGTTAACCAAATGGAGTCGAAGGCTTTTCTTTCCTAAGGGATCAGATTGGGGCAGGTCCGACAAACATTGTGCTAAGCACATCGATTGTGGTGATATACTCACTGACGAAATGCCGCCATGGTGTTCTCCAGATTCTCCCCCGCACCTGTAGAACAAAGGACATTGGTGAAAATAGGCAACAAGGACTTTGCTTTTAAAGCTACCGTATTTCCCGGAAATTTTTTTTTTTTTGCCTCCAAAAGAGGTCTTATTTTCGGGGTAGGCCTTACTGCACCTCTGGCACAGACAGCCCCCCCCCCAGGCGGTCCACTTCTTCTGGGACCAAAATTCTGCAGCTGCATTCGGGCCTGCATTTTGCAGTCAGGTTTTTCCAGAAGGCCTAAACAGCCGAGGACCGAGCTATGGATTCAATCCATAGCTCAGTCCTCAGCTGCAGAGGTCTTGCAGAACCGACCTATGGATTGAATCCATAGCTCGGTTCTTGGCTGTATAGGCCCGTCGGGAAAGCCCGGTGACTGAGAATTGCAGGCCTGGCTGCAGAAGAGCCTCAGAAGAAGAAGTGGGCTGGCAAGGAGAGGCCTGGCTGCCGCTCCACCCCTCCACTAGCTTGATTTTTAGGTGTGTGCCTCGCCCCAGAACTAGGGCTTATTTTGGGGGTAGGGCTTATATTAGGCCCACCCCCAAAAATCAAGCTAGGGCTTATTGTTGGTGTAGGCCAGGGGCAGGCAACCTTGGCCCTTTTATGACTCGTGGACTTCAACTCCCAGAATTCCTGAGCCAGCATGACTCAGCATGGAAACCTCTCCCTTTCTCCTCAGCATGGCTGGCTCAGGAATTCTGGGAGTTGAAGTCCACGAGTCATAAAAGAGCCAAGTTTGCCTACCCCTGGTGTAGGCCTTACTTTCGGGGAAACACGGTAGTCCTCAACTTACATCCATTCGTTTACTGACCGAAGTTACCCCGGCACAGAAAAAAGTGACCATTTTTCACACAGCATCCCCATTGGTCACATGATCAAAATGTGGGTGCCGGGTAACTGGCATGTATTTATCACGTATGTAGTTTGCGACTGTCCGAGCCAGCTTTGGACGAGCAAAATCCTAATTGGGAAAGCCAGATTCACTTAAAGACTGCACGATTCACTTAACAACTGGAGTGATTTGCTTAAGAACCGCGGCAAGGAAGAACATAAAATTGGGGGCGACTCGCTTAAGAACCACCTCACTTAGCGACAGAAATTCTGTTTTCAGCTGCGCTTGTAAGTCGAGGACTACCTGTAGTAAGAACTTGCAGGGTTTTTCGGGGATTTTAAACTGTGTCTTGGGTGTAGAACTTTTGTGTTCTTTTGGAACCTTTAAGAAACAATTACAAAAAAAAAAATAATACCTGGAGTTGACCAATGGCCTCCTTGCACCTGACTCAGCTTCACAGGGATAATGACTCTCAAATGTTTGTGTTGGGTTTCCCCTCCCTTGTTAGGCAGGCCTGGGTGTGTGATTGTGCGTGGGTGTGTTTGTGTGTACGTGAGGTTTCCGCTTCAACCATTTCCTGGTCCACCACAGGGCTTGTGAGGAAAGGAAAAATTAGTTTATAACGCAATGGGGATGGCAGTCAAGAGGACTATTGTCTAGTCACGTTGCAGCCCCAGGTGTGGGTGACCCCAGAGAACGACTGGATCAACTCTGCCTTTCTCCAATGTGCCATTTTTAAAGCCATCCCATTTAGTGGGTCCCTGTCCTTCCCTGGCCTGTTCTAGATTTCCTTCCAGTTCATTGGGTAACTTGTGATCCTACTGGTTTGGGAGATGGAGAAACTTCTCCATGACTGTTTCTTCATGTTCTGCTCCTTCCTTCTTTCCTCCCTCTACTACTTCTTTCTTTCTTTCTCTTTCTTTCTTTCTTTCTTTCTTTCTTTCTTTCTTTCTTTCTTTCTTTCTTTCTTTCCTACCTACCTACCTACCTACCTACCTACCTACCTACCTACCTTCATCATCCATCCATCCCTCCCTCCCCCATCTTTACTTTTTTTTTTTAACAAATAATTGAAGGTGGTGAAAACAATCCAACACATCGTCTTCCTTCTCTTTTCCTCACAACAACCCAGTGATGTGGCTTGGGCTGAGAGGGACTGGTCCAAAGTCACCCAGTCGGCTTTCGTGCCTAAGGCGGGACTAGAACCCACAACCTCCTGGTGACTGGCCCAAGGTCACCCAGCTGGTTTTCATGCCTAAGGTGGGACTAGAACGCACCGTCTCTTGGTGATTTTGCCCAGGGTTGCCCTAGGTCAGGGATGGGGAACCTTGGCTCTTTTATGACTGGTGGACTTCAACTCCCAGAATTCCTGAGCCAGCCATGCTGAGGGGAAAGGGAGAGGTTTCCAAGCTGAGCCAGGCTGGCTCAGGAATTCTGGGAGTTGAAGTCCACGAGTCATAAAAGAGCCAAGGTTGCCTACCTCTGCCCTAGGTTTTCATGCCTAACATAGGACTAGGACTCATCCTCTCCTGGCGATCAATTCAACGTCACCCACTGCTTTCATGCGTAAAGCTGGACTAGAACTCACCACCTCCTGCTTTTTTAGCCCGGGGGCTTCCCCACCTGCAAACATTTCGGTCCGGTAACCCCTATCTTACCTCAGATAGCTAAAAGCAAAGGTCTCTGTCTGAAGGCCAGGCTGCCTATCAAGGACTTGTTAATTTCTAATCTGGAGTTAACTACTCTGCCTGGGATGGGTGAAGCCAGCCACACTTTGCCCTTTGCTTAGGGGACACCAATCTGGGATTATAATTTCTGCCGTCTCCTCATTCTTCAAGCAAAGAGACTGGTAATCCTCAACTTAAGATCATCCATTTGGCAATGGCTCCAAATTACACGCACTGCAAAAAGCAAATTACAGCCAGTCCTCTCATTTACGACCGTCACAGCATCCCCATAGTCACATGATCAAAATTCAAGCACACGGCACGTATTGATGACCACTGCAGCGTCTTGTGTGATGATCGCCATTTACGACCTTCCGCCAAGCAAAGTCAAACCGAATGCGCTTAAAAAAACCACCAGGATTTATTTAAGCGGCCGCAGGTGTTCGCTTAACGAACGTGGCCAAAGAGATTGCAAAACTGAACGTGACTCACCGAACAACTGCTTTGCTTAGCAACAGAAATTCTGGTCCCAGCTGTGGTCGTAAGTCGAGGACTCCCTGCCCGTGCAAATAATACATGAGCAAATTCAATCCAAGGCGTGTAAACCAAGGTGACGCATGTTAAGAACCCCGAGCTAAATGCTAAGTATGAAAGAACATTTGATTTTTGCATTTAATCAGCAGCAACAGTGGCGGCATTCAAAGCAGCCCAACCTTTTGCATGTCAGGGAGAAATACTCCAAGATTAAAAAGCACATTATGTTCATTAGCAGCGGGGATATTTGCTCGGATCAAAGTAGCCACATCCTTCCCTACAAAACAGCCAGCTTAATGAGGAGAGACAAGGAAATGCAATGTTTGCCTCTCGTCCCAACTTCACATAGTGGCAGAAACAGAGATGGAAACCTTTAATCTTAGGGTTTTTTCCCTTCCTCTCCCTCCCCTTCCCTATATGTAGTTGAGGGACTCCAAAAAAGGGTCTAGGACAACTCTCCACAGCCAACTCACTGGGGCCAAGTCGCTGGACACAACTCTCCACGGCCAACTCACTGGGGCCCGGTTACTGGGGACAACTCTCGACGGCCAATTCACCGGGGCCAAGTCGCTGACGCAACTTTCCACGGCCAACTCACTGGGGCCAAGTCGCTGGACACAACTCTCCACGACCAACTCACTGGGGCCAGGTTACTGGGGACAACTCTCTACGGCCAACTCACTGGGGCCAAGTCACTGGACACAACTCTCCACGGCCAACTCACTGGAGCCAGGTTACTGGGGACAATTCTCCACGGCCAACTCACTGGGGCCAGGTTACTGGGGACAACTCTCCACGGCCAACTCACTGGGGCCAAGTCGCTGGACTCAACTCTCCACGGTTGTTTCCAAAATCAAATACAGGTAATCCTCCCATTACAACAGTTCATTTAGTGACTGTTCAAAGTTACAACGGCACTGAGAAAAGTGACCTAGTACCGTTTTTCACACTTACGACCGCCGCAACAACCCCGTGGTCACGTGATCAAAATTCGAAGGCTTGGCAACCGACTCATGTTTATGACAGTCGCAGTGTCCCGGGGTCAGGTGATCCCCTTTTGTGACCTTCTGACAAGCAAAGTCAATGGGGAAGGCAGATTCACTTAACAACCGTGTTTACTAACTTAACAATTGCAGTGATTCGCTTAACAACTGTGGCAAGAGAGGTCGTAAAATGGGTTAAAAACTCAACTTGTCTGTCTTGCTTAGCAACAGAAATCCAGGGCTCAATTGTGCTTGTAAGTCAAGGACTAGCTGTATATCACCTTCACCTCTCCTGTGGCCTTTTAAGGTAATCTAAACCGCAAAGATGGCTCCTTTCCTAGAAATGATCTTTTAGCAGTGGTAGAAGGCATGTATTCGGATCCTCCTGGCAAAAAGCTGTTGCTTGGAGACCTTGAAATCTTTTCTCCCACCCACCCGCAGGTCTGGTGAGGAGGTGAAAAGGTTGTCCCCCCCCCTTTAGGAATTGCACTAGGACAGGGGTAGGCCACCTTGGCTCTTTTATGACTCGTGGACTTCAACTCCCAGAATTCCTGAGCCAGCCATGCTGAGGAGGAATGGAGAGGAGCCATGCTGGCTCAGGAATTCTGGGAGTTGAAGTCCACGAGTCATAAAAGAGCCAGGTGGCCTACCCCTGAGTTAGGAAGACAGCTTGTTTGAAGACCCTTGCCCTAGACCAGGGGTAGGCCACCTTGGCTTTTTTATGACTCGTGGACTTCAACTCCCAGAATTCCTGAGCCAGCATGGCTCAGCATGGAAACCTCTCCCTTTCTCCTCAGCATGGCTGGCTCAGGAATTCTGGGAATTGAAGTCCACGAGTCATAAAAGAGCCAAGGTTGCCTACCCCTGCCCTAGTCAGTCTCCTTCAAGATATGTGAACTCAATTTCTGAGGACCACGTTTGAAGACAAAACAGTGACAACACTGGCTTTTGTGAGAAAAGGGATGCCTAGGAACGTGATCCGGCAGGATTCCGCTTGTGAGGCTTATCTCCCAAGGACTGGGACATGTGAACGATATTTGCTTCCTGTTAACATTGCGGAAGTGGAAAAACTCAGAATTGTGCAGCAGGTGCAGGAGAAAACAGTCTAAACCAGGGATAGGCAACCTTGGCTCTTTTATGACTCGTGGACTTCAACTCCCAGAATTCCTGAGCCAGCCATGCTGAGGAGAAATGGAGAAGTTTCCAGGCTGAGCCATGCTGGCTCAGGAATTCTGGGAGTTGAAGTCCACGAGTCATGAAGAGAACCAAGGTTGCCTAGCCCTGCACTAGTCTACCGAGATTCTCAGTCATCCAGGTCATGGTTGAAGGAAATAAAAGTTATTTTTTTAATAATTGTAGAAATAATTGTAGAAATGTAATGCCATTATATGAAACTGTCTCTTTAGTACAAATGTAACACTGTAACACAAATGTAACAATCCAATGACCAAATGTTTACTATTTTCTGCCTAAAAAAATCCTCCAGACACAGGAACTTACACTTTGAGTAGAAATCCTACTATCGAAGAGGGGGATTTTGAGCCAAGGTGAGAATTACAAATAAACAAGATAACAGCAGATGGCCGGAAGAGGTCAGGTTAACAAAGTACAACTTCAGAGTACATCTATAAAGATGAAAGAGCTGCTTAGATGTGACATGCATTGTACGGGTATAAAATGCAGATCTTGAAACCAGGCCAGTGTGCTCCTGGAATCCAATCCATAGGGAAGGATCCAGGGGGCTGCGTTTGCAAACGCTCCTCTCTTCTATTCTTTCTCTTTTATTCTATTTATGTTATTCTCCAATAAACCTTTGTTTTGTTAACCAGACTTGTCTTCGTATTGTAAGTATCAAAATTTACGGTTTTTGCATCTCACATGGTTGTCTCAAAGGTGCTTTTTTTCTAAAAGGCAATTGGACTTTCTTGATGTTTTTTTCTTTTCTTGGAAAAACGTCTCGCTTCTCATCCAAGAAGCTTCTTCAGTTCTTCTTGGATGAGAAGAGAAGCATTTTCAAAGAAAAATAAAAAAACGAGGAGGTCCAGTTGCCTTTTTGGGAAAGAAAAAAAAAAAAGCACCTTTGCACAAAGGAATTGCAAACAGGAGAACATCTGATGTCTGCTCAAGGTCACCGACTCCATCCTTGTGTGTGTGTGTGTGTGTGTGTCTAGGCAAACCCCACAGGCCTTGGGAAGGTCACGCTGGGCCCCACGTAGGCTATTCCTGAAGAAATTGATCCCATGCGGTCCGGCAAAGGCTGCCGGCTCCGTGATTGTGCATCTGCCCCCTTCTCTTTGTTTAAAAGCTCTTGGGTTGTTTACAAGCCGAAAAGACTACAAATCTTTGGGGAGAGGCCTGACTTTTACACCCTACTGTACTGATGGATGCAATTACCCAGCCAAGCAATTAATAAGAGCTGGATAATACAGTGTACCATTAGGGAGGGCTTTAAAAAAAATGGGACAATGCAGAGAGGATAGTTTTTATGCTCCCTACATTGTATTGTTTTGAAAATCCAGCTGCTCTTTTTCTCTCCTGTAAGGCAGTTTATTTTAACATTTTACTTCAAGGATTAAGAGTGTCTGCTAGCAGAGGCGCAGTTGGAAAGAAAGAGGGGGAAGGAAAGTTGTACCCCATAGTTTTAGAAGAAGGAATCTTGCTTTTAAAGAACAGCCTCTAAGATGCATAACCAGAGAGGCAGAATCCAGCTGGAATATATGGGCTTAACAGAGCAAAGTATGAGATCTAGAATAACACTCACAAACTTGCCCAGAGCCTCCTGGATTTTATTGCTGTAAGCTGCTGGGAAGGAAGGAAGGAAGGAAGGAAGGAAGGAAGGAAGGAAGGAAGGAAGGAAGGAAGGAAGGAAGGAAGGAAGGGAGGGAGGGAGGGAGGGAGGGAGGGAAGAGAAAGAAAGAAAGAAAGAAAGAAAGAAAGAAAGAAAGAAAGAAAGAAAGAAAGAAAGAAGAGGGAGGGGAGGGGAGGGGAGGGGAGAGGAGAAGAGAAAGAAAGGAAGGAAGAAAGAAAGAAAGAAAGAAAGAAAGAAAGAAAGAAAGAAAGAAAGAAAGAAAGAGGAGGGAGGAAGAGAGAGAGAGAAAGAAAGAGAAAGAAAGAAAGAAAGAAAGAAAGAAAGAAAGAGAAAGAAAAAGAAAAAAGAAAGAAGGGATGGAGGGAGAGAAAGAGAGAAAGGGAGAAAGAAAAAGATTAGATAGATAGATAGATAGATAGATAGATGAAAGAAAGAAAGAAAGAAAGAAAGAAAGAAAGAAAGAAAGAAAGAACGAACAGAGGGAGAAGTTATGAATAAAACTACCCTCATTTTGCAAAGCAGGGCTAAACTGAGACTGCAATCTTTTTTCAATAACAGGATGCAAATGGCTCTCCCGAAGACAAATAGCTTGATTGACATGCTTGGGAAAGCAAAGAGGAAGAAAAAGAGATTCAGGAAGATGTAAAATAAGAAAGGCAACTTCAAAGGGAGATTTAAAAAAAAACATTCAAATTAAAAACATCACGAAAAAGGTCTCTGCATCCATCAGGGCCCAGGTGGTGGAAAAGCAGAAGGGCCCAGTGATAAACAATGGAAGGGGGAAAAGGAGGGGGAAAAAAAGAGAAGTTCAGGAAATAAAAGCTGTCTTCAGGGACCACAGGAAGGACAAAGCTAAGGCTACGCCATAAAACAGGTGACAACTATACTGTAATTACCTGCTGCAAGATGACAGCAATATGTCACTTACATTTGCGGATTGACATATATGCAAATCCTTCTCGCTAGCGATTAAAATCTCAGGTTGCAGCTTGCTTCGGGAACGGGACTCCAGACACGAAGAGGAAGGCAGCAATCTCCACCCCATTTTGGGGACAGAGGCATAGTGAGGGACAGACTTCAAGGTTAAATTTGAACTTCAAGGAGAGAGAGACAGACAGACAGACAGAGACAGAGGGAGGGAGGGAGAGGAAGGGAGGGAGAGAGAGAGAGGGAGGGGGAGGGGAGGAAGGTAAAGAGAGAGGGAGGGGAGAGAAAGAGAGACAGGAGGGAGGGAGAGGGACAGTGGGGGAGAGAGAGAAAGTGAGAGGCGGAGGGAGGGAGGGAGAGAGAAAGAGAGAGGGAAAGAGAGGGAGTGAGGGAGAGGGAGGGGGCATAGTGAGGGACAGACTTCAAAGTTAAATTTGAATTTCAAGGAGAAAGAGAGAGAGAGGGGGAGGGGGAGGGGAGGAAGGTAAAGAGAGAAAGGGAAGGAGAGAGGGAGGGGGAGAGAAAGAGAGACAGGAAGGAGGGAGAGGGGGGAGAGAGAGAAAGTGAGAGGGGGAGGGAGGGAGAGGTGAGAGAAAGAGAGCGGGAAGGAGAGGGAGCGAGCGAGGGAGAGGGCATAGTGAGGGACAGACTTCAAGGTTAAATTTGAATTTCAAGGAGAAAGAGAGAGGGGGGGGGAGGAAGGTAAAGAGAGAAAGGGAAGGAGAGAGGGAGGGGGAGAGAAAGAGAGACAGGAAGGAGGGAGAGGGGGGAGAGAAAGTGAGAGGGGGAGGGAGGGAGAGGTGAGAGAAAGAGAGCGGGAAGGAGAGGGAGCGAGCGAGGGAGAGGGCATAGTGAGGGACAGACTTCAAGGTTAAATTTGAATTTCAAGGAGAAAGAGAGAGGGGGGGAGGAAGGTAAAGAGAGAAAGGGAAGGAGAGAGGGAGGGGGAGAGAAAGAGAGACAGGAAGGAGGGAGAGGGGGAGAGAGAGAAAGTGTGAGGGGGAGGGAGGGAGAGGTGAGAGAAAGAGAGCGGGAAGGAGAGGGAGCGAGCGAGGGAGAGGGCATAGTGAGGGACAGACTTCAAGGTTAAATTTGAATTTCAAGGAGAAAGAGAGACAGAGGGAGGGAGGAGGGAGGGGGAGAGAGAGGGAGGGGAGAGAGAAAGAGGGGGGAGGGAGGCAAAGAGAGAGAGGGATGGGGAGAGAAAGAGACAGGAGGGATGGAGAGAGGGAGAGTGGGGGAGAGAGAAAGTGAGAGAGGGGGAGGGAGGGAAGGAGAGAAGAAAGAGAAAGAGGGAAGGAGAGGGAAAGAGAGAGGGGGGGGGGACAGAGGGAGAAGGAACTGTCTTGCCAAAAATCACACCTGCTTTGTTTAGCATCCTATTTATCTGAAAGGAAGACTCCGCCTAACCTTTCTCTGCCATCTGGAAAATCAACACAGAAAATCCTCCTTTATCCTGGTTTGTTTTTTTTTTTTTCCTTCTTCTGTTTTTCTTCCTTCCCAGCTAGCTAACCCATAATAAGCAACCTGGAGATCTGAAAGGCAAAGAGCGATTTTTAGTTCTCCTTTCAGATGAACGGAGGATTTGACAAGGCACTCCCGCTCACTCGATAATAAGCTGAGCCTTAAAAAGCTTCGGAGTGGGAAGGAAGTGCAGGGAACACAAAAGCCTCGTGGTCCTTTTAAAGGAGAGCAGATGGATAAATATTTCGAGACAGCCTTGAGAAGACACTTCGTCTTCATCGTATCTCGTATCATCGTATCTCGGTCGACGCCGGTTCCACAGAAATCAGAAATTCCTTTGGCTTTGTTCCTCAACAAATCCTAATCTCTGCAAAGGATCTCTGGCTTCTCCCTATTCAGTCCATCTCCAGTATAATATTTTTCCACTCAGGCAGACCTATCCTCCCCCCATGCTGTTCTCTTTAGGGCCAGCAACCTTATGCAAACTACAGACGGGGGAACAAAACGTACCGATCAATAATAAACAGAAGAAAAATAAAAATAAAACAGTCCTGATTTTCTTTTACAGAGACATCCCGGTCATTGTTCCCCTTTATTATTCAGGTCTCCAAATGCCTCAATCGCTTTGTCTGCATTCTCTCACTTTAATTCTCCCCCCCCCCCCCCAGATTGCTTTCATTCAGAATTTTGCAAAATTTCTCCCCAAACTCTCTCTGGTTCTTCATAGCACTATCCACTTTCAAGAAGTGAGATGGTATCAATTCATACACAAAGACATTTGATGTGTATTTAAACCTACACCTCTCACTTTCCTGCATGGATTGATCAACAGAACAGGATCAGACCCCCTTCGTTCAGATATAGTAGAAGATTTTTTCCTTTTTGACTTTAGTTTCCCAAACACACAGCATATTTTTTCCTTCCCTCCATTTTCCTTCCTTCCTTCCACCCTCCCTCTCCTGCTCTCCTTCCTTCCTTCCTCTCTCCTTTCCTCCCTCTTCTGCTTTCCTTCCTTCCTTCCTCTCCTTTCCTCCCTCCCTCTCCTGCTCTTCCCTCCTCCCTTCCTCCCTTCTCCTTCCCATCTCCTGTCCTCCCTCCCTCTCCTGCTTTCCTTCCTTCCTCTTCTCCCTCCCTCTTCTGCTCTTCCTTCCTCCCTTCTCCTTCCCATCTCCTGTCCTCCCTCCCTCTCCTGCTCTCCTTCCTTCCTTCCTTCCTTCCTCTCTCCTTTCCTTCCTTTCCTCCCTCTCCTGCTTTCCTCCCTTCCTCTCCTTTCCTCCCTCCCTCTCCTGCTCTTCCTTCCTCCTTTCCTTCTCCTTCCCATCTCCTGTCCTCCCTCCCTCTCCTGCTTTCCTTCCTTCCTTCCTCTTCTCTCTCCCTCTCCTGCTCTTCCTTCTCCTTCCTCTCCTTTTCTCCCTCCCTCTCCTGCTCTTCCTTCCTTCCTTCCTCCCTCCGTTCCTCCCTTCCTTCTCCTTCCCATCTCCTTTCCTCCCTCCCTCTCCTGCTTTCCTTCCTTCCTCTCTCCTTTCCTCCCTCCCTCTCCTGCTCTTCCTTCCTTCCTCCCTCCCTCTTCCTCCCTATCTTCTTTCCTCCCTCCCTTCCTGTTTTCATTCCTCCCTCTCCCTCCCTCTTCCTTCCTCCGTTTTCTGCCGTCCTTCTCCTCCCCTCCCCCTTCCTTCCCTATTTAATTGTTCTCCCCATGTAGTCCCCTCCCATCCCAATCTTCCATACACCAAGGTCATCACAAAATAGGCCTGCGGACCTTGATCTCCATAGGACCTCATGCCTTGGATCGAAGCTTTCACACGGCCCTTGTAGTAAGCTAGAGAAGATCTAGGCTAGATTATCAATGTTACATGCAGCCCTATCACATGCAGCATCCTTTGCCAACAGTAATAATAAAAAAAAACCAATCCTGGACAGTTGGGCTACCTTTTCGCCCACAAATATAATCAACACCCAGTTTTATCCCAACCATGCTCACACAACACCGTGCAAGCTAGGATCGCTAAGTAAAAATTACCTTGCAAGCCAACATACAGTTGCCTGTACCATGCCCCATTCAGAGGTACATGCAGTGTATCCACGCTACTATAAAACAGATAATTAGAAATCAGCTTTTTTGGGGGGGAGGGGAAGAAATCCCATAGCATTTATCATATTCTCTACAGATACCCCACCAGATAGAAATTTATCTTATCTTGTCCTCACTCTAATCTTACTCAAAAAATATAGAAGCCGCTGAGAGTCAATGAGGGACTGGGGACAACGAGATGGGCGGCATATAAATTTGACAAATAAACACAAATTATTCCCCAGAATACAGATCTTCTGACTTATTTTTTTGGCTCAACAGTGTCTCTCTTAATGATCATCCCCGCAAAACATACATCAAGGCCCCCCAGTTTATATTCTCCTAGCTCCGCTGTCTTTTCACTGGCTGAAAGTCTCACAACCTGCCCTCTTGACTCACACCTCCCCCCCATCTGGCAATCAATATCGAATTATTGTGGTCTGCCACAGCCAACCTTTTATAAACAAAAAGCCCATCCAAATGCTATTTAAAAATGATCCACTATTTATTTATCAAATTTATAGGCTGCCTGTCTCACTGTCCCCGGAAGACATCGTTCGTTTATTTCTATCTGGTGGGGGGGGGGTCTGTAGAGAAAATGATAAACACTCTGAAATCTCATTCTTCCCCCCCCCCCCCAAAAAAAAGCTGGTTTCTAATTATCTGTTTTATAGCAGCATGCATTCTGGCACTGTTGGGAAACTATCCGAATTCTGCCATTTAAAAATGATCCAAATCCTATCAAACCACTATTGTCAAGCTATCTAGATCCTTTCCAGTTGCAATTTAAAAAACGATCCAAATCCTATCCGGCCACTAGTTAAAAACGATCCAAATGTAATGAATAACTAGATAAAATATGCTCCAAAATATTTCTTTAATGCACCAAGAATTAAGAAAAAAAAATAGCCTAGCGTTTAATAATCGTAACAGGTAGAGGAGTCCATAGGTGGATAAAAAAAAAAAATGCCAACTCCAGTCTAAAGATCTGGCTGGCTGTGCGATGATCCACAATAATAAAAAAAATATTTTATTATTTATTTACTATTATTTTATTTAATTGATACAGCCGCCCACTCACGCTCAAGTGACTCTGGGTGGATTTAAAAAAAAAAAAAAAGCCAAATCCAGTCTAAAGATCTGGCTGGCTGTGTGACGATCCACAACAATAACATTTTTATTTTATTATTTTTCCACAACAATAAAATTTTATTTTATTATTTATTTACTATTTATTTTATTTAGAGAATTGATACGGCCACCCACTCACGTCCAAGTGACTCTGGGTGAATTTTTTTTTTTTTTTTTTTTTTTTAAAAGCCAAATCCAGTCTAAAGATCTGGCTGGCTGGTGCGACGATCCACAATAATGAAATTTTATTTTATTATTTATTTACTATTTATTTAGTTAATTGATACGGCCGCCCACTCACGCTCAAGTGACTCTGGGTGGGTAAAAAAAAAAAAAAATGCCAAATCGAGTCTAAAGATCTGGCCGGCTGTGCGACGATCCACAACAATAACATTTTATTTTATTTTATTTACAGAATTGATATGGCCGCCCATTCGCTTGCAAGTGACTCCAGGCGGCTAAATTATCAAATCAGATTTAATATATAATATATATATATATATATATATATATATATATATATATATATATATATATATATAT